CTCGCGCGCGCTGAGGGAAGGGATGGCGTTTTACTATAACCATATTAATATAACGTGCTGCTTGGAGTTTGGGCCTGCTGAGGGGGCTCGTCTTAGAGCTGGCGAGGAAAGCTGGTGGGGTCGCTGGGAGTAGGGGGAAGGGGGGAGGGATACCGGCTTTATTAAGGGGGGAGGTTGTAAACGCTGAAATTGCAGCGAGGAAAGGGCAGATATCTTAAACTTTAAATTTGTATTAATTTTTAGTATCCTGAAAATATGGAGCTGTTTAATTTGGCTGTCATCTTATGCTGATGTACTGCAGCAAAAATAGGTAGACCTTTCTCCACAAAGCAGCTCTGTTCCAGAAATAGTTATGTCTTTTTTTTTTTTCGCTTTCTTTCCTGAGGCCAAGATAAGGGGAATGTTGAAAAAAAGACCTTTTAAGATATTGTTACAAAACAAAATCACCTGTTAGTCCTTTAAACTGGTTTCTTGGTTTGATCTGTGGATTTTTAATGCAACTTAAGCTTTCTTTGATCACTGCTATGTTTTGGGTTTCAGTTCACAGAGATGATGTCCCTTGATATATCTGACAGTGCTCAAATCTATGCTGCGTTCCTAGTTTACCTGGACCTATTAGAAGGTAATTCGATGAAGTGACTGCATAGACATCTCAACATATGTATTGGTAATCTTAGGTACTAGGATGTTAAAGTTTGTGTACCAGCAGGATCTATCCTAGAAAAGACTTTGGCCTTCTTTTTGTAGCCTAATGTAGCGATGGTTACCTAAGAAACGGATGATATTTTGGCACTGATGGCTTCCATCATGAGCCTGCCTGGAGCCTTTACCAAGATTGGGGCCCATTTCAGCTGACAATCACAGTTAGAGATGTAGGTGTTCCGGGATAAACACACTCAACATGGACAAAAGCAAAAGAGGAGTAAGAGAAGGAAGAAGGAATCAGAGAAGGGAATTTATTAATTCAGTGCTGTGCTGGCAATGTGTTCCTCTTTTCTAGGTTAATGTTTCAGTTACTAAATTACTAGGATTCCCACTTAGCAAATGGCTGGTGTGTGCCAGCATAACTAGGATGCCCTTTCCTTGAAAGGGGAAGTTTTTCTGTAGGAAAGAAGACCATTTTGAAATCCGGTGGCAATAATTATGACAAACTTAGTGTAGCCTTCTGGTGTCTTACAAGAGTGGAATAAATAGAGTTATGTGAGGCATAAACCTCTGTCTGCAATTCCCCCAGACTGGCTTTATTGAGAAGGGACTGTACATAGGCAGGCAGCCAGCATAATAAAACTACTGCAGTTTCTCTTGGAGGCTGGTGGTTCTCAAGGTCAGGGAATGGAGGAATTTTACAGACCAGAAGGCACTGTGTCTGTCATCATTATTGTTACACCTCCAAAGAAAATGGCTTAAGAAGCCTTAAGAGAAGACTCCCGTCGTTAGACAACAAAAACTTTTAGCCTCATCCCTTCAAGCAGAAGGGAAAAACTATGTAGCATTAGTAATCGTGCTTTTAGCACCTGCTCCTTCACAGCTTAGGGTAATGATAAATTTCAAACTTGGCTTACAGTTTTGTGGTACAGATGACTTCAAAACAAGATGCAAGATACACACGTTTTGTTGTCTTTTTCCATATGTGAAACAGATTTGTGAGTCAAATCCCCATCTACCATCAGTCAGTGTAGCTCTGGAGTCGGACTACTACTGATCCCGTAGGTTTCTCTAACGGGACTGTTTCTCAGAAGGAGAACTTGGGAGTTCATTGGGGTAATTATCTCATGGGAAATGCTCTATAAGGAGAAGGAGGGAAAACAACCTAAAATTAAATTAAATTAAAGTTAATTTAAATTCTAAGCTTGGTGTATGAGTGCTAAAACTTGTGTTTTGTGTTTTGGTTCGTCTCATCAATGATGAACCTTTCTAGGGAGAAACTGGCATGAAGTCAAGTATGTTGGATTAGCAGAGCTGCAGCTCATATGTTTACATGCACGTGAAAGAGAAGTGGACAATCTACAAGTGGTGGTGCCAGTACCTGTGCACATATCACTAAGTCATGAGAGGTGAGGATGTGATCAGTGTTTGAACTGAACTTCCAGTAAGATAAAACAAAGAACAAGCATATTTAACAGGCTGCTGATGACTTGATTGCGGGACAGGGAGGGAAACAAGGAAGAAATATCAGAGAGAAGCTATGTTTCAGCCTGTGAGCAGAGTTATTCTCTCAAAATAGTGAGAGAATAGAATAACTCCTTCACAATATATATTGTGAACATATACGTGGAGTTGATATTTCTCTAATTTTCTGAGTGGCATCAATTTCTCTGCTTTTTCCTCCCTGGAAGTGGTATTCCCTTGATGTAGGTTTCCCACAGCAACTGTCTCTTTTTGTTGATAAATACTTCCTACTGTTTGAAAGTAGGATATGCTCTCAGAGATAACAATGGATATCAAAGTAAGTGTTTGAGAGACAAGGTTAGAATACAAGACCTTAACAGCTTACGCTTTCAACATTCTTGTGCTGAATTTTTGTTGTCTGGGAAATCTGTTTTTTTTTTTTTTTTAATGTCTGTGGGCTTTAAAGTACCTAAAAGGAAAAAAAAGTCCCCTTGGACCTATCTAAGAATAAACATTATTTTTTCTTTATTGTTGAATCTCAGCAATAAGCCTGGTGTGTTTGATCTGTTTTGCTTTTTGCTTTTGAAGTATAATCTGGCTACTTTCAACCGGAAATTCCTCTTTATTTACCCAGAATCTAATGTATAATGGTCTGTTGAGCTATGATTTGGGATTACATCCATTCAAAAATGCCTTTTAGGTACTTTCCTGGTGGCATGTGCAAGACTAAATAATTTTGAAGTGGAGAGAAACATAGCTATGGCTTTCTGAAGTTATAAATATTTTCAGCTTAGAGAAGTTCTGTTCCAGCATTTTTACAGAATATTTTATCTGGTTATTGGAGTAGCCTCAAATATGCAGTATGATTTATTCTCTGATTGCGTCTGCCGCCTTTGTTACTGATATCTGCCATTCCTTCGTTTGATACCTTTAAGTACTTGAACTATTTCAGCTACGTCATATGGTAGTGCATTTTTTGATTTCTTGTGTTCTTACTGTTGCTCAGAACATGTGTAAAGCCAGCCTTGAGAACGTCTTGTTCGTGTTTGCTGCTGCATCCTCTTTCTCTCTTGGCAGCAGCCTGGCCCAGTGGTAGATAGCTAATTAATTGCACTTAGCAGACTTTGGTGTGTATGTGCTCTGGGAATGATATTTTAGAAATGCTATGGCTTTTTTGCTTTTTCTTAGGTTTTAGAAGTGACAGATTTGTCTCTTACAAGCAGGCTTCCATCTTAATTCTGCTCTGTGTTCTCTTGAGAGTGTATCTTCAGAAGCAATTCATTTTTGAGCAGGAAGAAAATACCTCACTAGATACTGATGGATTCAAGTACTGTCTAGTTGCTGAAAAATCTTCCATTTGCAATAGTGGTCAATTGTTCTTGTAAGCTTGTTTTTGCAGAGAAATGTGGCATGATCTCTGCAACAGGAGCAAAGCTGCTGAGAGAGGACTTGCACAGTGAAATACTGAGTGTCATTCAGCCTCTCTGCAAGAAGTAGATCACTGCATATGTGTGAAAGGAATGTACAGCCATACATAATTCACAGTGCTGGGATTTGAACTGGGTTTTGGGTGGGGAAAGAAGGCAGCAAGGTAGGATATGGAATCTTTGCGAAATGACTCCTGTGTGCTTGTTTAATGCAGTAGATTTTCACCTGGGTTGAAAACTTTGATTCCTGGCTTTGGGTTAATGCCAGCAAGTATGTTCTAATTGGTTTTTAATGACAGGGAGATATTGCACTGCATGTATGTCCTATCTTTTGCTGTTTCATTGGGGCTTTTCATTTGGAGCCTCTGAACTTGTTTATACTGTGGTGATACTGTTTGCTCTGTTTCTGGCGCCAGTGTGGATGGAATCCATTACTGGAAGGATGTGTTAGAGAAGCAAAGAGTGAATGCGTCACATTGATTAAAAGTACAGTTTGTGACTAGGTTTTGCTATAGAGCAAATACATAGAGTATGTTGTCACTAAAATGAGCTGAATACAGGGCAGTAGTGCCAGATGAGTGCTTTAAAGCTTTGTATGTACTTGATACCCTTGGCTGTTGTCAGGCAAGAAGATGGTATATGCTTGTATTTGTGGTATTGAACGTGCTGTCCTTCAGGGCTCAGGAACTGGTGTCTTAAGTGTCAGTTGTAAAATAATACAGTGACTTTGACTGGAGTCTTATGTAACTCTAGGAGTCCGTTTTGAACTGTGTGTATGCGCGTGCATACACATGCTTGGTATTTCATTAGCAGGTCACTGCTGATCCATCCAGGCCTTGGCTGTCGTCATAGAGACTGGACAGCATCAACTCCTCAGCTCCTTTGTTGGGAAAGGGGACAAAAACGGGGCTACGGTCAGTAGCTGCAGCTCAAAGTTACGTAGTGTAGAGGCAGGACATTAAAAATACATCCTACAGAGGGAGTTGGAAGCGCCATACATTACAGTATTGCTGCCTCTTTATTCTGCCAGTGATGAGTGTTTTGTTGTTGCGACTGCTGATAGCAGGAGTCTTGGAGGTATCTGATGTCTTAAACGCCTTAAAGTCAACTTTCTCATTTCCCAAGTGATAGGTGGTCAGGAAAGCTTTTGTACTCGGCCACTTTGCTGTTTTGTTCAAAGCAATGTTTTGGTCTTTGTGTTACCTTTTCCTCTACCTTACAAAAGGTATGAGTAGAAATAAATGTAACTCACTTTTAAGATTAAAACTTAAGCCATCCGAAGGGGTCGGGAAGCTGGAAACATTCCGTCCCCATTGCCGGATCTGGAAATTCTGTGCTAACTGCAAAAGCAGCTAGCAATTGGCAGTGTTTATTGGCAGTGTTTCCCTGCTTAACCAGTAAGGCCTGGGTAGGGGCTGCTGGGGTGGTTTTCCTCTGAGCCACTTCAGCAAGGACCTGCCAAACTGTGCCTTCCCCAGTGTCTTGTGAAGGTTTCTCTTTGGCTGACGCTCAGACAGCGGAAGAATGTGTCCTTAAAGACCATAGTAAAGTTGCTGTGGAAATTACCAGCAAGACACCTAAGCAAATGGTAAATGTGAGCGTCCCTTAAAATAACAAACCCCAAACCCATAACTGCTCAACATTTTTTTTTTTTTTAGCCTATTCTAAGATTTCATCTTGTCCAATTTATGTATGGCATTTAACTGTTTAAGGCAAAAGCTGTTCTGCTTGCAAGCTCAATGCCCACTTCTACAAACAAGTAGATGAAAGCTGATCATCCTGCTCTAGCAATGTAATGCTGCACAGCAATTCAACACTGCTTTTGCTGAATTCTAAAATTATGAGGTCTGGAGCAAGTGACTGCCAATGCAAATAATAGTTTTACACAGTTTGAAAAGTGATTTCATGCTGTGTATACATGCACTTAAAGCAAAGGTTGCTGAATCTTCTGTCAGTAAAGACCTGGAGAATAACATGCAGCTTCTTTCTGTCTTGGACCGCTCTCCCAAACATACATAGCTGGTTGAGGTTCAGAGAACCTGGTTTTTTGTACTCTGTTGTATTGACCATTAATTCATACTTGTTTATGAATCTGCAAGAGGACTCCATGGGTCCACTGACCGTGAGGTGTTTGCTGTTCACTACTGTAGGCAGAGTCTCAGGGTGCACTCGGTAGCTAATTGTCAGTACATCCCAGAATTGCCGTTCCCTGCGTGAGGTAAAGCAGTTAATACAGGTAGTCCTGTTTCAAAGCTGATTTTTTTTTTTCAGTCCTAATGGAATTAGGCAACCTCTGTTCTAGACAAATAACACTGTTTAAGCAAAATGTCCATTGCTAATAAAGCCTCAGATTAACTGATGTGTCACAGTTCTATTTATTTCTTGTATGTAAGTATGGGAGCTGAAGGTTGATGAACACCAGGTTATGAGGACTGTATAACTTGTTCCAGCCTAGGAGGGAAAGGATTATTTTGTTAAAATAGTAACTTAATTTTGGAAAAAAAATGTAAATGTTTCATTTTAAAGCTAATAAGCATCCTTGTTTCTACAAGTCCGAGTGTTGGAAGTGATTAATCCTCTTCTAAATCTGTAGTTTGTGAAATAGATCTTCCTGTAATCTGCAGTGCTTTTGCTTGTAAGTAGTACTTTAAACGCACTGGAAGTGTGACATGCTCTCATCTTGCCTCCCCTTCACAATTTTGTCAGTAGCTCTTTCTGCTATTAGCATTGTTTGAGTTTAGTCCTATAGTAAATTGCTCAAGGAAAATATAATTAATGGTTTTCAAATACAAACTCTTTACCAATAGTTTAGAAGTGACTTTCCTGACCAGTGAGGCATGTGGTGTTTTCTTTGTTGTGCGTATTTTGTTTTGTTGTTGTTAACAACAACATCTTGAGTTTCTTCTAGCATCCTGCATTGTTGTAGTTTAGAAACAAATCCCAAGCAACAGAGCGTGTCCATTTCCTTTCCCTCGCCTCCCAACCCTGCTTCTTTCCATGTATTTCAAGGTGTAATCTAACTTCAGGGCAGACAGCAGCGTCTGGAGCAGTATTTGTTTTCCTGATGGTGAGCCTAGAGGACATGCTGTGCTGTTTTTGAAATGCTGGTTAAATTCAAGGTATTGTGCTTTATAGGAAGGAGGTTGCCTCTGCCTTGATTCCTTCCATTATGGAACCTATCTGAACAAATCTAGTTCAATGGTACACTCCAATGCGTAAAGTAATAATTTCTGATACAGTGGTACAGATACCAACTTGTATCAGCTCTCCATTCCTGCCTTTGCATGGAGGGGAAGGAGCTGTTCAGGCTGGCAAAGCCTGCAATGAATTATTCATCCCGGTATAAAGGGCAGATTGAAAACCTCTTGGCTTTTATGGTAAGTAAGGCAGTAGTTCCATTTCAGCTAAATGGAGCGCTTACAACCTCCATAAAACTATTCTGAGCTTTCAGTGTTTCCTCTGTTTCTCAGAGGTACTTGTGTGGGATATACCATTGAAATGTACTTTGTTTGTCACATAATGTGTGCTGTTCATGATATCTTTCCGTTATGATTGTTCTGTTCTCTTTAGATCTTGGACAGTCAGATGAAACCTCAAGGTACATTCTAAAATGTAAAGTTCACCAGTCTTGTACCCGTTTTTTTCTCTGGATGGAAAAGCACAGCGTCACTTTGTTAGGAGCAACTCATTATGTAATATGTTATGAATTTCTGCTGTACATTGAAGGCCTACCTAATACAAAAGTCTTTGTTCATAAAAAGTAAGATAGGGAAAGGTTTAAAAGAAACCCAGCTTTTTTGTATGTGGGTTTTTTTGTTTGGTTTTGTTCTTTTTGGATTGTTGTTGTTGTTGTGTTAAAGGTATTACTTGCAACAGTAATTGAAGAACAGGTAAGTTCCCAGTGGCGTTTTAGTTTAAATGCAGCAGTAAGGGCAGATGCAGAAGGAGACTTATAGTGCTGCTACCTTAGCTGCAGTTGTCTTTGCATGATGTTAAGTTAAATTTGCTTGTACGACTGACTGGTAGAAAAGAAGCAACTCCTGTTGGACGTTGGAAAGCCCTTCTAAGCTTCTCTGGTGCCAAGGGCTTTAGAAGTGCCAGCTTAGTATAACAGTATGCAGGTTTATAACAGTGAACGTGCAAAATCCACCAATTTTAAATGGGTTTTTAAGCTATTCTGAAAACCGCGCTGTGGGATCTACAACAGAGGAGAATTCTTATTTTCAGATTATATTTAGTCTTATTCTATTTATGGGACTTCAGTTTTTATCATGCTGGTGAAAGGCAAACTTTCCAGTGCTACTTGTGGTGCCTGCATTCCCTCTGCTTACCTACATTATTTTCCTTTCACAGGGCCTTTTTTCAAGATGTACCTTTCTGTGAAGCTTAACTTAGGACTATCTGTTTTAACATTCAGTGGCTTTCTTCATGGGAAGAGGGACAGGAGAGAAGAGAGAGGAGTGGTTGCAGGATATTTTAGCTTTGCAGACTTCCACTGTGCGTGCAGCAGCACACATGCTTCTGTGAGTTCTCTTGGAGCTCTGTCTGCCTTTTATTCTTTACAGGACAGTTGTCGGCATAAATCCCGCGAACATAGCACATGTAGGGTATCTGTCCCTGATCTTCCTAGTCAGGATGCACTTGTGGATGAACAAGGCTATTCTGAGCTTCAGGTACTAAGGTGATTGAGTATTTTGTTGTCTGGTGTCCTTCTGGATAGGACAAGGTGAAATGGTACATTCTTCCAACATGGGCTTTGCTTGAGACTGTGTTCATGGCGTGCTGAGATTGTATCCCGACACTAGAGAACAGTATTAAGTGTTTTAGGCGGTTGTAACTGTTTCTCAGCTGCACCTTTTTCCCTTGGTGAGGCTCTAAATTCTGCTTAAGGCTTGATGTCTAGCGAGTGGAGTGGATCATACCTGAACACTTGTTGAAATGGAGGAGCCAGATGGAGCCACGACTTGCATGGAGTGCAGGCTGTTGGAGCGTGGCCTGTAAAGGTTTGTGCACCGAGAGCAAAGTATTGCAGCCCCTTTGGTATCGCTGAGAATGATGTTTCCGGAGCGTGTCTAACAAAGTTGGGACTGATGAAGAAAAAAAGGCTAGTCGGGATGCTGATGAATGGAAGTTACTGGGACTATTGATGGCCTGTGCCAGCCTACTGGATGTATTGAGCTCCTCTGTTCCAGATACTTCTAATATTTGACAGTTTCAGAAGTACTAAATACAGTTTTACTTAAGCAAAAGCCGTCTTTTGTAACCGAAATCATGTGTATATACTAGCAGATTTACCAGTCATTAGAGGTTTGTCTGTAAGCATTAACTTAGTCGATAGATTCTCTTAATTGGTCAACTAGTTCTCTGGGGGGAGGTGAAACATATGGGCTTTTGTTTAAGACTTCATTTTAATCACTGAGGCTGTTGTGTGAGCTGGGCAGTGCAGAGGGCTGTATCTGTTGAGGTAAAGGCTTTTTGCCTTGTTTAGGAGGTCAAACAAATGCACTCCTTCAAATTTCAGAAGGCCAAGAATAGTTCTTCCTTTTTTTTCATATAGAATGTGTTAGATGCGTCAAAAGGATTAAAAAAAACCCCTCACCTTTCCAGACACGTTTCATTTTTCTGTTCACGGCAGATAGCAAGTGTAGTAAAATCAGCACAAAGCCAGCTGTTCTTCTCTGACTCGTTCTTCGAAATGTCCATTGCTTTAAAGAAACTTTTGGAACGTGCTGTATGTGGAGGCTAACAATGATGCCTTGAGGAGGAAGAGAGGAAATGCGGGCGTCTGATGCAGACTTCCTGAATTCCAAAGCTTATTCTTTTAAAAGATACCCTCCCGCTTATCTGCAGATGTGCTGCATTGCATTATGGCTAGCTGTGGTATGCATGATGAGAACTCTTCTTTTGGTGCTGCCTACCTCAAGAAAAGAGTAAAGACAAGAATCTTGCATTTATGATTCTGATTTTTTAAGGTGATAGCAGCTGATACTCCATTTGTGGTGCACAGTGTTGGGCCTCGCAGACAGAAGTGTTAGCAGATCCTCCTGAAGCAGAGACATGTCTTTGTGCTCTATACATAAAGCCTTGATTTCTCTGTTATATGAAATGATAAACTGACTAACCCTGCACTGTATTGTTTTGCCTTGCGTTATGTGTGGGCCAGTAGTGAAAGCAAATGAGAAGACGCTCCTGAATTTAGCCAAGTTGAATTATGAACAGTTCAGAACACAGATGGATACTTAAGAGAGTCATGGGTTTAACAGCATAGGCTTTCCAGGCTGCTGCTTATTCTTTGCCACTTCTTATTTGGCTTTTAGTAAGGGATCAAAGAGGTTGGGAAGGGAAGATGATGTTTGAAGTTTGAAAACTGATGTGTTGAGAAAGAGCCTAATTTTCAGCTACAATAACCAGCTTAAAAAATATGCATTTTTCTGGCGCATGAGAACTCATGCGCACATGAAGCGAGGGAAAGATTTTTCCCGCTGCAGAGCTGACCTCTCCCCAGAGCGTAACCTGTCCCAGCAATTCCAAATTAATCCTATTGCACCAGACCTTTAGGTGAAGGAGAAAGCTCTCTGTGGTAACGCCTGCTATTGGGAGTGTTACTGCTCTGTCTCTAGGCTGTGCATCTATTACACTCCTTCAGTACTCATCCCCCCATCAGAGCTGTAATACGAGGACTTCAGGAAACAATGCTGTCCTCGGCATATTATTCTTAAAATAAACTGAGTAGGGAAAAATGGCATAACTTTGTCTTGAATTTTTAGGAAAGACTTAATTTATGCTTACTTTCTTCAAGTGACTAGTCTTTTGGCTTCCAGTCTGGATGGGAAGATACAGAGAGCTGGATCTAGTTCCTGGGTCCTCTGCAAACTTTCAGAGTGACCTTAACTATGTAGAACTGTCATGCAGAGACTGAAAGACTCATCTCTACAAACAGAATAAGTCTTAGTTGTTGTGTTGTCTTAATTAAACACCATATGTGCATAAAATGCTTTCATTAGATTAAAAAAGAAATTAAGGGCATCGGAGATTACTATAATTGTGGTGGTGGAAGGGTGGTTGAGGCATGTGCACTAGCATACCTAAGGAAAGCTTGGAAGCACGCACTAAGCCGTTTCCAGCAGAGATTTATGCAACTGAGTATATTTTAAAGTAAAAGCAAGGTCCTTTTTTTTATTTAAGAAATTGTGTTTGTTGCTCTAGAAGTTATTGAGCATCATGTTGAAACTGGTCTGCAGGACTTCTGATTTTTGCTAGAACAGAAGTTATACGTTCTTCAGTGAAGGCAAACTTGCGAAAGAAAAATGGACTTTTTGTTAGGTAATCTTCCCCTCCTCCAGCTTTGTAAATAGCAGTTGTATTAAAGCCCAGTTAAAAGGCTCAAACATGAGCTTCTACTACTCCACCATCCTTCCAAGCTTTTCAGGAATTGCCTTTCCTAGGCAATTGCTTTCTAGGGCAAACATATTCTTCTACAGGGACAGTGTTAAAGATCAGAAAATAAAACCAACCTGTTTCTACTTTGTAGAAACATCTCTAAAATTAGAGAATCTACCTGACAGTAGGAAAAAGTTGAGCTTTCTGTTTTGCATGTTGTCACTATCAAAACCTACAAAAAATAAGCAGTGGTGCACTTCTAGCTTTGTGCCATGAGTACATGATTATGGACTGATTTCTAACTAATTTTTTTTTCTTCTTCTTCTAGGATAAGAGAAATCATGCAGAAAGCCTCTCTCCCACAGGACAAACCTGACACCCCACAGTCAGTTACCTTGGCCATAGTTGAGTCAGATTCCACAGTAGTCTACTATAAAATGACTGATGGCTTTGTAATGCCAGATCCTCCTGATGATACTGAAGATGTGGACAATAAACAGTGGAGGAAGAAAAGAAAGAAGCTTTTCAAATGATTAAGACAAACAGACTTTTATTGAACTGCTGTCCGCAAACCTAAGCAAATCCAGGAACTTATGTATGTGAATAAGTAGTGCGATAAAGTCTCACTTCTGCCTATCAAGCATCTGTTCACAGAGGAGAATGGAGGCTTGTGCAGATAGATGCACAGTAATAAAATGCCAGTATTACATGGGTCACGCTTTTGAGGCAGATTGCTTCTGACTAATAAATACACTTCTGAGAAGTTTCCAAAGCTAGTCTCTCCTTTATACCTATTCAGCTACGTAACAGAGTAAGCTCATCATTACCTATATTATAAATGTTTATTAAAGGTAAATCTTAAGGGTTTCTGGCAGGAGTACTGATACTGAGTTAAGGACTTTGTAGTTTACGGAGTCCCTTTGTTTTAACACTGTAGAAGGGCTCATGCTACCTCCCGGTTTTCTTTGCTGAATACTTATCTTCTTGTCCCCAGGTTTTTGAGAAGAGGTTTTTCCACAGAAACACCCTATTGTAATTTTTTTTCTCCCGCAGAGGGAAAACTGACTACTGGAATACCAGAGGCTACTAGAACAAATCCTAGACTAGTAAGAGGGTTTTGGAGTCCTTGCATCTGCAAGAGGAAGGACCAGCCTCTGCTAGTAGGTTCACCTGGAGGTAGGTTATGACTGGAGCAAATAAACCTGAAAATGTTGACCTAGGGTGGTGTCACCCATGTGGCTGAGTGCACACCACGTTAAAGGTCAGGATCCAGAAACACTGCCAGGCTCAAATACAGTGTTGGAGGCTGGTCTGAGAACCGAAAGTGCCTTGTGCTTGCATCGCAGTGTAATGAAGTTGCCTATGTGAGGCCCTGCCCTCTTTCTTTTTGGGTCTGGTGTGTAAAATTGCTTCACTGTGCTTTTAGTGCTTAAAGCTCTCTGAAGAGGACGATGGTAATTGGGTGCGTTTTCTTGTATCACTAAAGTGCGTCACCTTCGAGGCTAGGAGTGGGCACTAGCCATTATCCGCCTAGCACAGCGAGCGGGTTCCTAAACCCATTGTCATTTCTAGAATTTCTCTTTTTAATGTAGATTCTACTAGTTAAATTGGCTGCCCAGTAGCGCTTCAGCTAGGGGTAAGTTAAGGGGAAAAAACCTTAGTGATCTCCAGTTTCTTCTACAGGAATTTTCCATGTCTTTCATATAGCAATCTTCTTCAGGTTGAACACAGAGCTTCTTGGCAATCAAATGCCACCCCAGAAGCAGCTTCTTGATTAAAAAAAATGTCCATTTTACATTTGTGTGGCTAAGGACCACACGCTCAAACTTTGAAGCACAAGAGCTCTTTTTCTTTGCGTGGGTACAAGAATGGGAGAGAATCCAAAAAATCGAGCTGGAAAGTGAAAGGCTATTTAAAGCTTTAGTATCCCTATGACTAAAATGGCTGGAAATACCCAGTGTTTTTTATGGTTGCGGAGTTTGAATCTAGTTTGGACAAAAATGCTGGAAGGCAGTGTGATGTAGCAGGGAGAGCACAGGGTAGGAAGGTGATCAGGGCTCTAGCTCCATCTTTCCGAAGGACACCCGTTGTGATGTTCAACGCTGCGCTGAGGTGCTGATCCTGCGAAGCACGTCTCAGTGCCTAGTCTATGTGAGGGAGGCAACAGCTTCTCCAGCTTGTTCTGACTGCAGCCCCCTTGGGGTGTTGCTGCCCTTGCAGGGCACATCAACCCCTCTCAGTTTTGCCAGTAAAACTGGAAGAGGGGAGAAGGGTGTGCTGTGACCCCGAGCGCTACATGGCCCCCTCAGGCAGCGGCAACACAGGAACCTTTTATAGCAGCTTTGCCACCAGCACCATCGTCTGGGAGTACCTTGTTGACTCGGAACTTGTTAAGTGGTGGAGGACAGGCTGGTGAACACATCCAAGTGCTTGCTTTGCCCATCACAGGCTTCTGCACCTCACATCTCTAGTCCGGGTAAGCTATTTCTGAGACCTAAAGCACTTCAGCAACTCTTTGATAATTGTCCTTTGCAATAGTGATATATATATATATATTTTTTTTTTCATCTCTTTGTTGGTAGTATTTCTTTCTGATGTACATTATGACAGTACTTTTTCTTAGGGCAACCTCATCACTTTTGGACTATGGTTCCACTGAAGTAAGAGCTCAGAAAGGTTTGCTTCTGGCTTTTCACCCCGCCTCCCCCTGCCTTCTGGCATTTCCATACAACAAGGGGAGACTGTAGCTCTGTGGGATTCAGGAATGGAGAAATGCAAAGAAAAAGATTGGAAGAATATCTCTTTCTCAGTCTTGCTCCCCTCACGAAGGAAAAATGTAGCTTTATTTTGGTTCAATGCCATATTGCCTTAGCATGTCAAGAGTCAGCACGCTGTTACCATGTTGTGTTTGACTTTAATGTCTATATTTCATGTACTCTACTGCTCAGTCCATAAAGTAAATCTTACACTTTGCTAGGCTGCATACCACCAGCTAAATTGTCCTTGCATAAGCAGTCAAATACTTCAACCCCAATGTGAATATGTGCTGGAAAAGAGCTGGTTTTATGTGAAGGCAGCTCTAACAAGTACAACACAATGCAAAATTCATGCTTAAGCTATACGTGCTTAGCTCAAAGTAAATTCTGCATTTCCTTCATTTTCAGGGAAATACATATGTTTTGTAGTTTGCTGCAGGACTGATGCTAGCTTGTTTTTTCTCCTTCATTTTATTATTTGTGGGTACAGAAAGAGTCGTATAATTTGAGACTTCTTTTCTATGTACTGATAACTGCTTACTCAGTTTTTAGAAGCTGAGTTGGAGAAACAAACTGTATATTTTTGTCCGTAACAAGAAGTGGCCGGAGCCTTGATTTCTGTTGGGTGTCCCACCAAGTAAGGATTGTTTAGGCCTTTTTCTAGTCTCTTTAGATTCTTAGGTTCTTTATATTTCTAAGAAAAAAAAACAGAAGAGTAAATAATATCACTGCACTGGTTTTCCCATATGTATTGCAATGTAAACACCAGGACATTAAATGAGTTTAGAGCCAGATGTGCTGTTCCTTTACGTTCCCCTGAAGTGTGGTATTATTTCTCTGTGTCAAGTCACCAGCGCACAGACTAGAGCCTCTGTTCTAGGCACTGAATAAAGATGGGAAGAGACTTCCCTTGGAAGTACATCAGCTTAGAGCAGTTGCACATTTAATTTCCCAAATCAGTAGTATCTTGGTGCTGTGCTTGAGGTATTCAAGTACTTGCTCCACTTTAAACGTTCCTGAAACATCTGCAGCAGCAAAGAAATGTGACCTGTCTCGTGGTCTTTACTGCTTTTCAAAGTCATCTCATTTCGGTCCAGATGATTTTACAGGCTACGTCTTGCCATCTTTAAAGTTTTTTTTTTTTTTTTAAGTTTTATTTGCTTGATTTGTTTTACTGATGACCCTCGACCAACAGAAGGTGTGTTTTAAAATCTTAAAACAAGACCATCTACCTTCTCTGGTAGATGATATTTGCATTGAAGCTCCCTCACCAAGTAAAGAATGATAGCAAAGCAAAGTGATTTTTCTGTATGGATTTGACAGTGTGACTAGATGCCCAGTTACATAAGTAAGCATCCACTTTGGTTTATGCAAACTAGGTTTCCTTGAGGCATTACTGGCATCGTCACCCAAACTTTCCTGTGTTCATCCTGACTGCATGCAACGCACACAGAACGCTTTTTATGAAAAAACACCAGCCAAGAAGGAGGAAGCCTTTTCAGATGCATAAAGAGGGGCTGTGGTTGCAAGAAGCAGACAAGAAATAGGCACTGCAGCAGACAGTAAGCTGCCAAGAGTGAGTGACTACCACACGTTTCCCCTTGTTTGTGCTGAATAAGCAAAACCACGTGCATATGTTTGGAGAGTGGGCCTCTCCCGTTGAAATCGCCTACGCGTATGTGACTGTGCGTGTGCCGCGCGTGATGCAGCAGCGTGGCACACCTGGGCGAGCAGCACATGCCAGGAAGTCAGCTCACGATCTGCCCTGCTTGTAAAGGCACGTCTAGCGTGGCAGTGCCCCAGGCCCCAGCAGCTCTGCCTGAAGAAGCGGAGCCCCAGCAGCAGAGCCTCTCGCTGAGCCAAACGCTGCTGCAGATCGACTGGCAAGCAGTGACCAGACGAAGGGCTGTTGTTTCCAAAACATGTCCTAAGCACGATGTGCTGTCCCCTGCAAAGAGGCCCTCAGCATCCCTACAAAACCATTCTGTTTTTCAGAAATCGCTCGAGGAAAGACATGGCCTCCTCTTGTGACCTGTTCTCAGGCTGGGGCGAGGTTTTCCACAGGATCTTTAGCTTGGACAACACTGAAATATCAATAATATTAGTAAAGCCAAGCTATCTGAATCCCTTGCTTTCCCTTCTCTATGTAAGCAGTCCAGTAAAGAAACTTTTTGTTTAATATAAAACAGTTTTTTTCTAAAAAACAGTCCCTTTGTTAATCATCCTATGAGTATTGCAGGTCTGCAGAAGTTAAATTCGGTCAACTAGCCTGTAAGTCCTCCTTTATATAAATGGGCTTGCTGTTAATCTTGTGTAGTCCTCCAGGGATGTTTCAGGCCCCCATTATAACCCAGTAGTTTAAAACTTCCTTAAGTCATTAGCCAAAGTAAATAAACTAAGATAAATTTAGGCCTTATTAACTGAAAGTTTTCAAACTCGATAGCCTTTCACCTCTCTCCCTTTTTCTATCCCACTTTTATCTTAATCATCTCATCGCAATAAATCTTACTTTGGAAGGTTGAAGCAAGAGCATCAAACTCTTCAGTGCTTTCCACCCCTTCTGTTAATAGACACACATTTTCCTTTATCTTCTTCCTGTTTTGCTTTTTAAGTAATTTTCTTACAAGCTGTCATATCTCTGTTTCACCCCTCAGCATGCCCTGATTTTGCAGGACTGAGGAATTTGGTGCATCCCTGGGTGCATATCCTGCCTCAGCACCTCCAGCTACAGTGGGCGCCCAGGAGGTGAAGTAAGACGGACCGGGATTGCCAGAGATCTCTGAGCAGAGATGCTCTGATCCACCAAGAGCAAATTGCCATGCTGGCAAATACCCCTTACACAGAAAGGAAGATAATTATAAGCAACTTGGTTTTCCTAACACTTCAAAAACAGCTGCAACTGCATCTCATGTTTCAGAGTTTCTCCAGGGTTTGATTTCTTTTCCGTTTTCTTTCCCTTGTTTCTCAGATGTTTCCACTTGGGCAGTGCCATGAGCCTGAGGAACCCCAGACTCAGCCCCTGCCTTCAGCAAACCTGACTGACAGCCTATTTGCCTGGATGAATTAATGAGCGCTCTAACTCCTGATCAGCTACGTGCTGCACGTTATATAAATTTCTCTCCGTGCTTCTTGTCTGGCCATCAAGCTCAGTTTGCTAAACCTGCATGGCTGTTTTCATCTTCTCCATAGCCTTTTTTTCCCTTTCTCACTGCTCTAGTCCTACTGCCAGCACTTCTTTAGCCATCATTCTCTGTCCTCCTGGTCCGTTTCATGAGTAGCCATCCCTTAACAGCCCCCAAATTTATCTTTTTGTGCCGTCTACCCCATCTGGAGCTCCCCTTTCTTTCCAGCCTTCCAACCGCCACCCTGTCTTCTGCTGGGGTGCCCACAGCTCTGCTAAAGAGAGCCATGTAAGACGTTTCCCTTTCCTAATTTGGTTACTAAGTGGACATCTCAATTCCACCAAAGCAAGCCTATTTACCACTGCAAATCTCAGTACAGTTTGAAGCCAGGATTTGAGAGTGGAGTGCCCATGTCCAACCTGCCAAGGATGCTTACCTCTTGGAGGGTGTTGCTTGTTCCCCTATCCAAAATGCCCAAGTCATCACCCGCAAGATTTTCAGACTAGCAGTCATTTGTTGGGTAATTCTGCAGGGCAAAGCTCGCTGAAGCCAGCCGGCTGCGTTTGCACCAGAGGGCGCTTGCAGACTGCTGAG